CCACTCCATTTGCCGGTCAGCTCGTCCTCGATTCCTAACGTTGAATTTTGGGCAAAACAATTAATTACCAGGGTTTACCTGGAATTAAGCAAAGTCAAAGAAAACGAAAGATTACCGAGTAGGCAGGTACGCGTTTTGTACAGCGAGATCAAAAGGATTGAGATTTGAATGTTACATGCACTGTCTTATTTTATAACTTAAAATCGCCATTATTTGTTTCATAATCGATGGATTGTTCCATGACTCCTGCACTTGATTGGTTGCATTATCCAGATTTTTTTTTCAAGTACAAATGTTGGGATAATACCGTAATGGTATGATTGATTTGGCATGAAGTAGTGAAGTTGGGAACATGTTTTGCTTCCAAACCAAGCTCAAATATTGGACCACCAACAAAAAATCTTACCTTTTCTCCATTACAAAAATCGTGCTATATGCCACTGTTTTCAGTCACATACCACACACCATCTTGTGTTTCATGCTTCACCAAATATTTCTTTACTCAAGATAATTATATCCACAATTTATTATTAACAATTTAAGTTTTAATTTCTAAATGTTACTGGATATTAACATTGATTTAACTAAACGTTAGTATTTAAAATAAATAAATAAATGTTAGTATTTAAATCGAAATTTTGATTCAAATTTATAATTAATATAAAATAAAAAACAATATAATTGTAATATTTATATAATATTATAAATTTATAATATGATACGTCATGATATAATTAATTTTTTTATCTAGAAATTCATTCATGATATTATATATAATTATTTATTAATAATATATCATACTCATTTAATGTCATATTAAAATAATAAATTTATAATTTTATATAACATTATAACTATAAAACTATTAATATTATAAAAACCTCACAAATATTTGGATGAAAATCAACACGTTATCTTTGATTACTCCATAAACAGTCAAAAATTCTTCCATTGACGTGTTCGCTTGTAAAGACTAAAGACCAATTCGATTCATAAATTCAATTCAACTAGCAGTACTAACTTGACTCCATAATCTCCGGTTTCAGATTGGCCTGTGTTTGCGTTTACCTTGTCCGTATGTTGGTCTCAATTGAGTCATCGACTTCTCCATAAATATCGCCTAATTTTGTTCTTCCAACTTGATTAATATACACCTTAATCGGACGGTCCACGTCACGGCATTCACGTTGACATTTTGACACAATGACATCTCATCTTAAAATCAGGACCTACCTACCATAACATTTGGCATTCCTTGGATACCCTCCATTTGTTCCCTTTTTTTTCCTCTTTTTTTTTTTTTTTTTGTCACGTTAAACTTTAGTACTTACATTTTGGACTTTAGAAGGGATAAACATTGGTTTTGGGATGACTTTTGGGTTTTAATGCTGATTTTTCAAAATAGAGACTAGCACAGAGATTTTGTAAGTCCAAATACATCTATCATTTTCAAGTTTGGATGTTCTACAAGGATTTTGGACCCCATCAAGCTTTTCTTTTCTTCCCACGCGAGAGATCCCAATAATTTTCTAGGTTTTTTTTTTTCCCCACTTTCTTTCTTCTGATATTTAAATCTAACTTCTACTAAAAAAGGTGAAATTGAGTCACTTAAATCGTTAAAAAAACTTTATACTAAATGTAAACTTGAAGTCTGTATGATTTTAACTTTTAAATTCGAACACTTAAAACTTGCTGTAGTGGTGAACAATTCTTTACATCTGCATGTTAGTATGTTACAATGTGTCCATGAAGCGACCGGGTGAAAGAGAAAGCAAGTAGATGGTTTTGAATGTTTT